CTGGGGACCTGAGGACACTCCGACTCGTTCCTCCAAGGCACGGTGGCGGATTTGCGACCCAAGAGCATAGCAGCGGGTGCGACCACGGCTGTGAGCAAGCATGATCTGCTGCTGGTGCTGCAGTCTTCCCGACACGCGCGCACGTGTACTACAATCGGGGCGCTGAAGAAGGAACCCTTTTCGCTGGGGAGGGGCTCGGTATTCCTTGTTTGTTCCGCAGCTTGCCTAAGATGCTCCTCAAGTTTCCCATGGGGAATCGATCCTTCACTTATGAAAAAAAGGGGCCTTGTTCCTTATGAAATCGGGGGCGGAAAAGAGGGGGGTGATGACTAGGGGGGGGGGGTGGATATCATGGCGTGGGCCATGATATTTCCCCAGATTTCATGGCGCCTCTTCTTATTTCATTACGTCCCTGGCCCCCCCGCTGGGCCGCGCACATGCCGCCGGTCATGATTTGCTCCCCCCCCTCTCGGACACCCCCCTCTTGGCCGCTCCCGAGTAAGGGTTCCTTAGGTCAGAGGCCAGCAACATATGTACACGTACGCGATTAGCTTCCTCTGGAGTGCGTGTCAACGCGGACGTTCGTGCAGGCAAGACCGCGGAGGGCGTACATGTACATATGTCGTTGCTCGCCCATTAGGTCAACGCCTCGACTGTAATAAGTGGTTACCTCGCAGCCTTGAAGCTGGACCGGGCGCGGTCCGTCTGCCTGCCCGCTCCCTCCCCGGCATCCTTCTAGGCCTCCTCGATGGGATCGGAGCAGATGGGGTCGGAGGACCATGCAGTATCGACGATGCATCGGCGATGCGGCTCGATGCGGAGCCCGATTTTCTCCACGCCGACGCCGCCGATACATCGCTGTCGTCGACGCCTCATCGCCGGTGCATCGGCGATGCATCGCCGATGCATCGCCGATGTATCGCCGATGTATCGGCGATGCGGCGCGGTCCTCCGACCCCATCTATTCGGACCCCATCTAGGAGGCCTCTAGTGCCCCTCCCAGGGAGCTGGACGATGCGGCACAGTGCGAAGGAGAGGCACGCAGAGCGAGGAGGAGGAGCAGGGTACAGTCGGGGCGCCGAACAAGGACCTCTTCTCGTTGAGGAGGGGCTCCGTGCTTCTGAACTGTTTCGCAGTTTGTCTTGGGTTGTCCTCAGGTTTTCGATGGGACGTCGAAGTTTAACTTACGGAAAAAAGGGGCTTCGTTCCTCATTTACCGTTCCTTAGGTCAGGCCGACTATTGTAATGATGCACATCTCCAGCTGACTGCGGCAATCCCGCCACCGTGCCGCCGAAGCACCCCGTGTGGCAATCTTTGGAGCACCGCCCCCTTCTCGAGGAGGTGATCGTTTTTGTGTTCATTGCTTTGCCGATCGGCGCGGGCCCTCTCACCCCCCCCTCCGTGGAGTGGATCTCGGCTGTTTTTGGTGCTTGTTTCGAGCGGGTGGAGCCTCTTCCCCAGAGGACGCACGGTTTCAAACCGACGCGTTAAGCAGAGGTCAGGAGCCAGACCCCCTCCCTTTCCCCCTTTTTCGCCTAATGTCGAAACGCCGAATAATACTTAGCCTGGCGAAGGACCCAACCATATGCAGTTGTAGATACAGTCGTTGTTAGTATCGCCTTCGGTGGATCTCCTCATGGGGGCCACGAAGCGTGTGAAGGGTGTGCCGACATGGGGAGGGGCCGCCATGCGGGCGCTGCCACTGAGGCCTGAATTCCAGCCCCCTTCATGGGGCCACCAAACGTGTGTGTGAGGCGTGTGCCGAAATGGGGCGCTGCCGCCATGCGGGCGCTGCCGCTGGGGTGAAGCCCCCTTATGGGGCCGCGCAACGTGCGAGGGGATAGTGGTGATGATTACGATGACCAGCCCGTGCAATTTTGAGCGCCACAGTTGTGAGAGCCGCAGTTGTGAGATCGTCTTCGGTGGAACTCCCTATGGGCCATGGGGCCACAAAGCGTGGGGGCCAGAAGGACTCACCTCCGACCGAGAACTGAGGGGCCCGAACGACTCACCTCCGACCGAGAACTGAGGGGCCCGAACGACTCACCTCCGACCGAGAACTGAGGGGTCCGAACAACTCACTTCCGACCGAAAACTGAGGGGCCCAAACGACTCACCTCCGACCGAGATGCGATGGGTCCGAACGACTCACTTCCGACCGAGAATTTA